CTAACGGCGGCGAAAATGTTAGGCCGAGGGCTGTGACCTATACCCGGATAGACAATAAAAAGATATCGGCAACACAGATCTTTCCTTATGTTGTGTCTACAGGAGACTATTGCTGGGTAGAAGTGAACGGCATTACTTTTCTCAATGTCTACAAGGCACCCAATGACTCGACAGCTATACAGCCTCTGATCAACTGGATTCCACCGCCAAAATCCGTCGCTGCTGGGGACTTTAACTCGGTATATTGGGCTTGGCAACCTGGCGTGGAACGTCCTCATGGACAAGGAGAAATGATCGAGAAATGGGCAGACAAACACCATTTGATCTGTCATATTATTGGGGAGCCCACTCACCGAGCTGGAAACACGCTAGATCTAGTTTGGAGTAATGTCGACGGCGCCCGTGCTTGGGTAGATCGTGGTGGATGTGTCACCAGCAATCACTTCCCTATCCGAGGACAAATTCCAGTTTGCAACTCAGTGATGAGACCCGAAAAGGCAAAACTCCGAGTAACAAAGGAAAAGCTACCCCGATACGCCAAGGTAATTGCACAGTGGGTCCGACCACCACCAGTTCTTGACACAATCGAAAGGGTCGAAGAGTATGCCGAGGAAATTTGTTTCCATCTCACTAATGCAATCAATGCAGTAGAAACACGACCAAAAGCCCGCTGCGGCAGATCTGCTCCGTGGTGGACCCCAGAGTGCAAGGCAACTTTCGCTGAGTATAAAAGCGCGATAACTCCCAGTCAACGGGCACTCAGCGCGAAAAAGCTCCGATCAGTTGTGAAGACCTCGAAAAAGGAGTTCAAAACCCAACAGGTCGAATCAATTACTACGCCGAATGATGTATTCAAGCTAATGAGAATGGATAACCCTAGACAGGCTAGTATCCCTCCGCCACTGAACCATAATGGGACGTTGGTAACAGATCCATTAAAACGGGCCACGATCCTTCGCGACTCCCTCCTGGCACGATTTCAGGCATCAGACGACTTGTCACCATGTACAGTCGCGAGCAGCAGTCGGATACCATGGGAAGAGGACGTAACAGATGAAGAGGTCCGAGCCTGTACCATTGGCTGCGGAAATACGGCCCCAGGAGCAGACGGAGTCTTCGTAAACCTGCTGGAGGCGTGTTGGAATACAATTGGGCCTTGGATTTCCCAACTGTTCCGAGCTTGCATTCTACTTGGCACCCATCCAAAGTGTTTCAAATTAGCCGAGGTGGTCCTCCTTCAAAAGAACAATAGAGACCCAACGACAATTAAGGGTTGGAGACCAATTGCTCTTCTCTCATGCTTGGGAAAAGGGTTAGAAAGGCTCTTAGCTAAGCGGATGGCACACCTTGCAGTAATACATGATGTAGTCGGCCAGCAACAGTTTGGTGCACTGCCGAAGCGCTCAGCAACGGATCTAGTCTCATGTGTGGTCCACGACATCGAAGAGGCGAATTCACAAGGATGGGCAGCTACTTTTGTAACGTTGGACGTTCAAAGAGCATTCGACGCGGTACTCCATAATCGATTAGTGAGGAGGATGCAGGAGCAGGGATGACCGGAGTCTATTCTCAAATGGACTAGCTCCTTCCTTGCCAATCGGATGGTTCAAGTGCGATACTCTGGGGGAGTCACTGCCAAGAGAGAGCTAGTGTGCGGAGTTCCACAGGGCTCACCGATCTCGCCACTTCTCTTCCTTTTATATATGGCAGAGCCCATGCGAAGTGGCACCCCGGGTCTGAGGTTTAGCTACGCCGACGATATTTGTATCCTTGGATCTGGCCGGAAGATTGGAGAGTCTGCAGCCGCAGCACAGGACGAGGTCAATAACCTACTAGACTTGGCTCGAAATAATGATGTCGCTTTCGATACAGACAAGTCCGAAGTCGTACAATTCCCCGGACAATACCGCAAAACATCGGTTGGAATTTATGTCAACGGAACTCTCATAGAGCCGTCGCAAAATGTCCGCTGGCTTAGTGTGTACCTCGATCCTCGACTAAACTTCAAACACCACGTCACAACCTGGTGTGGCAAAGCGTTGAAAATTGCACAGCACATGCGTCGCTTCAATACAGCCTACCGAGGACCCGCTCCTGGGGCGTTGGTTGAAGCGATCGACACATGTATTGTCCCAATCGCAACGTACGGAGCTGACGTCTGGTGGCCTGGCCTTAGACGCCCAACAATACGAGGGATGGTGAAACCGCCTACTGCTGGCCTATGTAGTATGATTGATAAGGCTGTCTTAATGGGTCTTAGGTCAGCACTACCGGTAATGAGAACAACCCCCAACGCTGTACTACATATGGAAGGAGGAATACCAACCGTGAAAGTCATTCTCGAAGGAAACCGACTTCGCCTCTCTGTCAGAATGCAAACACTTGACGACTGCCATCCGCTTAGGATCCGTGCTGCAGTTTGCCCAAATGTTGGTACGCGAAAATATAAGAAGCATAATCGAAAATCTGCGCGTCCTGAAATTCAAATGTCACGGGCTCAGCGTGCTTATAGACAGCTACCAGAGGCAGAGGCCGCGGAACCTCTTGCCCCACCATTTTATCAATCGCGGCCGGGTTCGAAGGTTGGTTCGAGAAAAGACCAAGTAGAAGCCTGTAAACTTTGGATCACTAATGTGCCAAAGTTAGAAATTTGTGCTTACTCGGACGGAGCATCGGAGGGAAAGAGACGCTCAGCTTGGGGGTTTGTCCTAAAGCTGGATGGGAAAACTTTTCAAAAAGGAAGTGGCTGTCAGAGGAAAGCTAAGAATGATATAGTTGGGTCTGAATCATGAGCTATATTTAATCTAAAGAGAGAAAGTTCTATGTACACGAAATTATCATACAAACTGTGTGCCGAGGCCGGAAGATTATCAGCCGAGCCTAACCAGATCAAGATGAGTATGATTAGGCGAGCGCATGCTTAGTACAGTTCACAACTGTTACAGTGGCATAAAGCACGGTGGAGAGGCTTTAGATGCAGAGATTATGGGGGCACAGGAAGCTCTTAAAGCAGCGTTGGGTCACTTAAGAGGGAAGGAGTACCTGACGAAGGGAACGACGCAGTGCATTAATGTGTTGATGGATAGTCGACATGCGATAAATGCACTGAGCACGGGCAGGTCCTCGACCAGCCACGAGGAAGTACGAAAGTTTAGCGAATTATCTGGGCTAGCTCAGGTAAGAATAACGTGGGTAGCAGGACACTCGGGGATACATGGAAATGAGGAAGCAGATGCAGCGGCCAAATCCGCCCTACGAACGCTTCCCAGCGTGGAAACTGAGCCAGCAACCACCACGAAAGCATTTTTACACTAAAAATTGCATCGACAGCGACAGACTTTGCTCGACAGCTGGTGGAATGAAACTTGCCCGTCACGGTATCGTGAGCTAGATCTGCTCATGCGCCGTCGTAAACCACCAGAACTTGGGCTTTCCAGGCTACAGTTACGATATCTCATTGCAGCCCGTACGGGCCACGGCAATTTCGCGGCGTACCATCGTCGCTTCAACAATCCGCACGCTATTACAGAGTGCATCTGTGGGGAGGAAACCACCCCTACCCACTTCATACATTGTCGACTCAACGCAAATATCACGCGTCGAATCAGAGGGTCATTGTCACACAATGCCTTCTTACACAAGCTACTCGGGCCTAAGTGCTTCGAGAGCTTCAAACAATTTGCGCAGGATACCAACTGTTTTGGGTATTCTCCTGTGCATCCATCTCCTACTCTCAGTGGAGATCGAATATAACTTGTCAGGAAACTAAAACTGAAAAAATGGGAATCGAGGCGAGGAGTACTGCTTCCCATTCTAAATTATTTGCAATTTATCTTTTTCTTTTGTTAATTTTGGGAAAAGGAGTTCGCGTCGGCGCATATTTTTAACTTACTGCTGGTTTTGTGGTGGTTCATGCGGTGGAATCAAGCTGGGTATGTCTTAGATGTAGTTCTGGCTGTGAACATCGGTCCTGTACTCATAGTGGATTTGGAGCTTTAGCTTAGGACTTGAATAAAACGACAACAACAACACATACAAGCTCCACTTTCTAATATGGGTATAGGACCGGTAAAGCCAGCAAGGATCACTGTGGACAGGTGTCATGTAGGAACATAATTCATTCATTAGTTGACATTGTTCAAACAATCATGCCTATATAACAACGTCATGTAGACATAATTCGTCTTTTGTACTTACTGAATCTACCATGACTATGTCTCAGTGATAGGAGAAACATTATTGCGTAGTTATGTTACGCCATGCGCTAAGGATACTGGAGATCGCCGTCTGCCGAAGGTAATATCTTAATAACTATGGATAATTGACACCGATGAAGGATACCTAGAGATAATTTAACCAGCGAGGTGTCAGATATTCAAAGACCGGAGAGGTGAAGGATATTCGAAAGGGACTTGTCAAGAAGTCGAGTTGTGGAGAAATCGAAGAATTCCGATAACCTGAGATCAGTTGACGTACGAAGGGTGTAACGAGAAGTGAAAGACTAAGAATATAAGATTGAAATATAATATAAATACTAGAATTTGAGATTAAAGACTATCACAATTAAAGATTGAGAAACTAGAGAGCTACTGTGTGGCAGCCCCAGCTCCCTTGATTATAATTAAAGATTCTATGAAGGAAATAATGACCCCTATTTTATTCAGATTATAGAGCGCATTGACTCAAGTAACTACCAAAGCAAAACTAAGTACAGAATCTGTAATCACGCTTGTATCAACAACTTGGCCTTATTGATAGCCCCAATTATTATAAATTCTAACACTCCCCCATAAAATTATTGGGTGTATTCCTGGTATTCCTGTGTCTTTGCCTTATTAGACGTCTGCTTGAATTGGTTAGATGTCTGCTCCCAAACTGGTCCTTGCACTTCCGATGAATCAATCCAAGCTAGGTACTTTTTGGAATTGATTCATCTCCTCTCGTTTTTCTCCACGTACACTGTAGAGTCCTAAGCTTATCCCGATTGACCTTTCAGGTTAATGGCATTAACTTCAGAGACTCCCCCAGGATTTTGGCGTCTAAGCGTCAGCCTTTCTCAGCTTTCGAATAAACTCCCCCAGTTTCTGTGCTGTGGTTGTTCTGGTGTATATTCCTTCCAAATCACTAGTGTACCATTGTCTTGTTTCCCTCTTCAAGAAACATGCCCCACTAGTATATCCCTTCCAAAGTCTTTTATCCTAAGCGTTCCGTGTGATAGCTCTCTCCTACCATCACCATACTCCACTTGGTTTTCTTTCTAACTTGCTTCGATGTTTTTGTCACCCATTATTCTTCTTCTTTTTGACTTAATCTTCCCCACTTCAATATGAGCTTAATCGAAGATAGCCGTTGAGAGGGTGTTAATGTTGAACCCTTAGGCTATTGTAGAGACTTTTTGTTGTCGGACAACTTGACAAAGTTTCCTCTGATTAGATAAAGGCGAAGAATATGCGAAGGGAAGTCTTGAGGGTTTAAATGACAGCTTTCGAAACGGAGCTGCTGGGTTGATGTTCGAACTGCTGTCGGAGATCAGCAGCGAAATTTTTGCAACAGCTTTCGGATAGGAACTGTCAGATTCGGGACTCGACAAGCTTCGAAAAGAGTCGAGGAATTTAAATTAACAGCGGTCGAAGAGTAGCTGTCAGACTGTGATGTTGGGAGCAGCTTTCGCACTGTCGCTGCCTGTTTGTGATCTCTTTTTCTTGTAATTTTTGGGTCGACTCATTTGACTCATGGGCTCTCTCGCTTAGAGTCCATCGACGGGCTGGCTACCAGTGCGTTTAGGAAGCATCAATACTCACGAGTGTTTCTCAGCAAACCCGATCTTTTTTTTGCATCAGATTTTAATTGCTTATGCAGCTATCTAGCTATGACACAATATCAAAGAAAAGTACAGAAAAGATGACTTAATTTACAATTGGAGCACTCATGCCTCGGATTTCATTTGCAAGTACCACTGCAAAGTTATGGTGGCTTTTTCTTCACCCCAAGTCAACCCTCATCCGTGAATACCCACCCAGGGTAACGTCTCAAAAACCCTGAGTTATCCAGACATGCCTCCGTCATCCATCAACTTTTCTCCGCGCGATATGTGATCTGAGGTGTCTCTTTCCAAGGTGGAGTGGGTGCCCAGGCTACTCAAACTATACTAGAGAACATCACCAGGAAGCAGATCACAACACCTTCCATTGTTGGCTTGTATTCATAATATCAACTGCACTCTAACGACCCCGATCTTCAGTACGCGACCTGTACTCGCCCTAACGAGGGCGATAACCTCCTGTTTTCTCAGGCGACGTCCATTCACTTTCCTTTCGTGGTTGCAACCCAAAGGCAATGGCCTTGTCTTGGGTTCAAGAAGGTGACAGCCTCCTAGTCGGATTAATTTGGCGCAAGTAGAGCATATGCCCTTCTACTTGCCCATAACAAAGATAGTATCAAACTCCGGGCGATACAACGTGATTGCGCGTGCGACAATCCGGGCTCATAACCTATTAAGAAATAATGACCCCTCAGTCATGGAGGTTGTAGAAGGCATTGATTTATGTAACTATCGAAGTGAAACTAAGTACAGAATCTATAGTCACTTGTGTACCAACAACGTGGCCCACTTGATAGCCCCAGTTATTCTCAATTCTAACAGTTTATGTGAAATATTTTCCGGAACAGACTTTGTTCCCATACATTTACCAATTACACGATTATTGTTCTTCAACCTCTGAATATTGTCTTAACCAGGCTTTTTTTGTTAGATTGGTGCTAATAATGCCGCCAAAAAATGGAATTTCTGTACAGTAACAACGTGCTCTGCGACAATGGGCGCACCGCCAGGTCCCATAACCAACACAAAAACAGTGCATTGAGTAGTTCTTCGCTGAGTACGGCCATCGCTTAAGCCTGTCCACTGTCTCCGAGTCCTTGAGCAAGACCTTTGCAAAACTTGACGAAGCTTCAAGCACTACTGGGCTACAACAGCGAGCTGGAAACTGGCCTGACCTTGAGAGTATTCTCCCGGCGTGGCGAATACGAGTTGAACAACGAGGAGGGATCACAACTGGCGATTTGCTCCGTGAGAAGGCAAAGCGGATCTGGACACCATTGCCACAGCACGCTAACTAACCGTGCCCTGAATTCAGTGCTTTCTGGCTTGAGAATTTCAAGAAACAATACCATATTTAGAATCGGGTTCAACACAGTGAAGTTAGTTCCATTCCAGCGGCTGCAGAAGCCGAAATGGAAGCTTTACAGACAATTGCAGGAGAATTTGAGGAAGAAAACATAATTAATATGGACGAGTCCTGTCTCTTTTGGAAAATGCTACTTTCATGTGGACTATTGTTGCAATCTCAACGTGGGCTCAAGAAAAACAAGGACCGAGTTTCTCTCTGTTTCAGTACAAATGCTAGAGGTTCTGACCGACTTCCCATTTGGATTATTGGCAAATATAAGACGCCTCGGGCCTTAAAAAAAGTTAGTATTCAGACAATGGGTGGCAAGTAGAGGTGGAATTCAAAAGAATGGATGAACACAGCAATTATGGGCGAATGGCTCAAGAATTCTATTGCCACATTGGAAATGGCCGAGATGTACTCTTTACAGTTGCCACGGTTTCAGTACAAAATGCTTGGGTGATCTTGTAAGTGTTGTAATGAAGGGAGTATCATGGCTGCATTACAATAAACAGTTCACATTAGAATAATGTGCACACACGCTTTGGGATATGATTGATCAAGATCATCACTCATTGGTATGACATAGTATTTCCCAATAGATTCCTAATGGTATCTATTGGCGCTAGGATCTCTCACATCCTTCCTTTCTCGCTTAGACAAGGAAATATGTTGGAACATCCAATAGTGTGCAGAACCCCCTTATTCATGTATATAGAAGAAATTCCTGTCATGTAGGTAACTTGAGCAATTCATACAATAGGAAATTCAAACAATCTCCATATTATTCATGCACTTAAGAATAATAGGGAATATCCTCAAGTTCGTCCACTGATCCAAGTCCTAATAGTATAATTCACGAACTTAACTCCTCTTAAAGCCATAGCTACCTCCTTCCATACCTTCATCCTAACGGTACGTCATTCCAGCTCAGCATAGCCTTTCAATTCGATGATGAGTCGCGGAGATGGCGCGCCCACGCTGGGCAATGGCACGATGGATACTGAGTGCGTATCACTGTGGCCAAATTGGTGTCAGTAGGTATCAAATGTGAACTCTTACTGACAATGGTGATCTATGAAGGTGATACTAGTGTAACGGCTGGCAAGCCGATTGGTCCCTGTAGCATATGTTGGTTAACTTAGGCCTGGTTCAAATGGCATTATTAATGACTACCAATGCGTTGATGTGCGACGGCACCCAAATTATTACTTTTGCGTCGGCATTTGCATGGTGTGTGTTTGTGTTGATTGTGCTACTTGAATTTGAATTGGAATTTGAAATCTTTTACGTGACAGGAAGAACCTAACATCTATTTAGACGTGATACGGGTAGATGGGCTCTGAAAGCTCATTGCTACCTACATGACCGGCAGTGGGGCCAGAAGCGACAAAAGAAAAGAGTGAAAAAAAAAAGAACAGTATGTGTCTGAGTTACGGTGCCCTGCGCCGCATCCCTATCTTCCACACCTATCTACTCTCGGGTCAGAAACAATCTCAGCGTGGTCACCTCCCACCCTGTTCATTCTTTGGCAGACTGTAACATCGGCTTGTAGTTAAGAATCGAATGAACTTCTGCCATCCCTTCTCCCCTATCATTTCCCTGGCCCCAGGTGGGGCCATTTTCTCATAGATTCTCCAATGTAGCAGAGCAGGTCGGCACTCTAAAAAATGCCAGGGCCTTTTCTCTCGGCCGCAAACGCATTTCAGATCTTCATGTTCGGGGTTGAAAAGTCGATGGTAGTCGGCATAGTCCCCGTGGCCTGTTCTTGCCGCAATAAGACGATGGTACGCCCATCTTGGTAAAGCTAGTTCCGGTGGTCTTTTGCAACGCATGAATAGGTCCAGATCTTTGTATTGTTTCGGTCAATACTTCTGCCACCATTCTTCCACGAGCTCTTAGCTGCGCTGTTTAACCCACCTCCTTAATGCCGCAAAGGTTAGATCTTGATCTTCTCCACTGGGCGCAGCTGAGGTTAGTGACCGGCTATTGGAGGCTCCCAAGGCTGATTTGGCCAGTTTATCGGCCTCTTCATTGCCTTGAATCCCCACATGCCCGGGTATCCAGCGTATTTCCACACGCTTATTGTGTCTCAGCGATGAAGCTTGTCCACCACCGACTGCGAGGAGTTAGATCTTCCTCTTTCGAGCGCCTGGGTGGCCGCTTGGTTGTCCAGAAGAATGCAGATCAGTAAGTCTTTTCCTACCTCTATTGCAGCCTTCAAGGCTTTCATGGCACCTACAACTTCTGCATCGAATACCTCTGCTCCGGGAAGTGGACCGGAGCCACTTGCAACTAGCCTGCCTCCTTGGTATACTACATACCCCCAGGATGATTTTCCGGGACCCGATGATGATCCATCAGAGAAAGCGAAGACTGTGTTAGCTGGGCGGGAAGCTAACCACCGCTTTATGCTTCCAGACCTAGCTTCATTTTCTCGACTACATGGAATCAATGCTGGAGTGCCACGTGGGAAGTATAGCTTTCCGGGGCCTTCGGCTGTCGGAACTCGACGCACACTCATTTGTAGGCGTGTCATGTACCGTTTTGGTTGTCTGAACAATCGATCTCTTTGTCCCGATCTAAGACCTAAGCGTCTTATTGTCTCTTTCGGATCCTCAGCCGCCCGAATGGCCAGAGGGTGCCAGGCATCCATTCTTCGCATACAAGCTGCAGACCGCAGCATCTTTTGCTTAAGAATTATCGATGCCGGGGGTATTCCCGCTTAACAATGAAGAGCAACATTGGGAGTGGTACGCCACGCTGGGAGTGCTACTCTAATAGCTTTCATTATCGTTTTTTCCAATAGAGATATGTGCCAGCCTACTCCAGTGCCGACTTCTTTATCTCGCAGTGTGGTTATTCGAGTGAGACCTGGCCACCACGCTTCTGCCCCGTATAGAGCTGTGCTCATAACGCATGCATGTACCGCACGAATCAGAGGACCGGGTGCTGCACCACGTTGAACTCTGTTTATATGTCGTAAGAAATGGACTAGACAATTAGCTTTTCCAGTCCATTCATGTACATGTTGCTTGAAGTTTAGCTGGGTATCTGTGATGGGCGATCAACAAAACAATATAGTAAAGGAA